TCTACTCTACTCTACTCTACTCTACTCTACTCTACTCTACTCTACTCTACTCTATTCTATTCTTAGGCCTTTAGGGTTGTGGAAAGTTCCATAAGAAACCACAAGCTGATGATGACCTTATTGATTGAATGTTGTAAGAGGGATTGGCGTAGAGGTTAAGCTATTCCAAAGGAGCAGGACCATCAAGCCCTAGGTTTTTGAAGATTATGGATTATTTATTTATTTATTTATTTATTTATTTATTTATTCATTTATTTATTTATTTATTTTCTTGTCCTATTGAGCTGCACATTCCACACATAAATTAACTGAACGTTGGGTTTGCAATTATGCTGGGGGAAGTGTGTTCATTTTCACCAACAGTTTCTGTTGTTCTAAAGGACAAAGAGGAACAATTGTGAGAAAAGGACAACTGGGCTTTAAAGCATGTGTAGGCCTCTGCCTAATTGAAGGCCTCAAATTAACAATATATTAAAATGTAGGCTGAGCTGATTTTGCAAGCATAGCAAAATATTTGCAATCTGTAGCTTCTGCAAAAACATAATTGCAAGTTAATAAATTGTAAAGTTATTTTGGATCACCAATGTCTGGGACACTGAATAAAAAGGGAACTGAAAGTAGCAGATGGTAAGCGAATTGGCATATACCTACAAGTGGAGGACAGTATGAGGGAATAGAGGAGTACATCCAGTAAGATTACACACCAGTGGGTGGGCTTCAGAAAAAGAAGGGTATAAAAGAAAGGGGTAAATCAGGGCCACTGATAGTAGCAATCCTTTCTGGAGTTAGCTATTGTCTCTGGACCTTATTGCAATGGGCTATTGATATAAGTAATGTTATGATGGCTTTTCATGTTCCAAATTGCTCATGAAATAAACCTCTGATCTTAAAGTAAGATTTACTGCTTGTGGTTTGTCTGTGTCCTTCTTTTATTGGATTATTTGTATAATACTTGTATCTCGTATCAGTGTTCCAGCAAAACCAGATCCCAATCAGCAACTCCGAGACAGACATTTTTCTCAAAGTTTCATTTTATTGGAAAAGGCATACTGGCACATCTGGGAAAACCTGAATCTGAGAGTTTCGGGTTTTCCCTCAGTAAATCAAAATCCAAAATCCAACCCCAGTGCATCACATGGTCCAATCACCATCTGCCCCAACAAGAGACATCCCTTCAACCACTCCTCCTCCAGATGCAGGTATAACATGACCTTGACCAAATAGAAGAATGCTATTAGGTCTAACTACTAACACTCTAAAAATCCCCCCTCTTAATTTCCCAAGCACAGGAATGTGGCAAATTGTGGAAATGTGGAAATTTCTGGTGTTAATATGGCTTCCAAAGCTGACATCTCACCTTTATTATTTCTGCAAATAACTCAAAGTGGCAAGCATACCCAATATATCTTTCTCCTCCTATTTTCCCCACAACAATCCTGTGAAGTGGGATGGTCTGAGAGAGATTGACTGGCTCAAGGCCACCCAGCTGTCTTTCATGGCTAACTTTGCTAAGATACGGTAGGTTCTCCTACCCTCAATGTAGCAGGGATAAGACAGCTCTTTGTTGGAGATGCTTAATTTAGTTTTCGTGCTGCATCTTATGAGTCTTTCTATTTTTATTCCATCATACCACAGTAAGTGAATTTATAGGATATTAAATAATTTTCTCTGGCAGGGTCATTTTGATACGAATATATTAACACCTCAGAGAATCTTTAATAAATGTTGGTTGCAAATAACTGCTGTTAGAAATGTAATTCAGGAGTTCATTAATTCACATGGCCGGACTTGTCCTATTATTCACAACTGCTGAAATCCACAGGACTGTTAACAAGGTTTTAAAGCATGTGTTGTGGGTTAAGGACGTCTATTTTCTAACAGACTATGTGCTCGCTATCAGAAACTTATCAAGATTTAAAGAATTGTGAATTTTTGTACACGGGTGATGACAAAAGACATTAGTTGACAACACCAGTAGGATAAATCAGCATCAGATTTGCAGCAATGGACTGTTGTTAAAAATATGATTTAGGCCTTTTCAAGAAAAGGGCAAGAAAGAAAACTTGAAGTAATCTCTTCCAACTGTTTTACAGATATATATTTTTTTCTCTATACAATTTTGATGTTATTTCATGAAATATACATGAAGGTTTTTGTTTGTTTGATACCCGCTTTAAAGATAATTTTGTACACAGCATAATTTGTAATATAAGTTTTATTTAATGTGATATATTTATTTCTCTAAGTGTGGTGCCTTAGAAAAATACTTATTTTCAAAGCTCTTAATTAGAGAGGTAATCTTTTTTAGATTGTGGATCCTACTTGACCTTTCATTGATGTGCCATTGTTATCTACCCAAAAGTGGTGAAACCAAGACAAAGAAATGAACTTGGTCAAAACAGAA